ACGTTATCTTTCATGAAAGGCGATGTGGTATGTCCCTTGACCCCACAGATTTCGCACCGGTCCCTGTGTTCTTACAGCCATGCCAGCGCATGAGGAGTTGCGTGCTTTGAAATGTACGGAACATTTCCGACGAATGAAGTGTGATGTAGGCGCAAGTCATGCCAGCTGAGGGCAGTGCTGATCACAGACGCAGATGTCAGGTGGGAACTGCGCTGATCACAGACGCAGATGCCAGGTGGGAACTGCGCTGATCACAGACCAGATGCCAGGTGGGAACTGCCCTGATCACAGACGGAGATGCCAGGTGAGAACTGCGCTGATCACAGACGCCGATGCCAGGTGAGAACTGCGCTGATCACAGACCAGATGCCAGGTGGGAACTGCCCTGATCACAGACGGAGATGCCAGGTGAGAACTGCGCTGATCACAGACGCAGATGCCAGGTGGGAGCTGCCCTGATCACAGACCAGATGTCAGGTGAGAACTGCCCTGATCACAGACCAGATGCCAGGTGGGATCTGCCCTGATCACAGACGCAGATGCCAGGTGGGAACTGCGCTGATCGCAGACCAGATGCCAGGTGGGAACTGGGCTGATCACAGACGCAGAAGCCAGGTGAGAACTGCGCTGATCACAGACCAGATGCCAGGTGAGAACTGCGCTGATCACAGGCGCGGGTTTGCACTAGCGGCTCAAGACCTGAGTCCCCAACACTTGAACTTCCACGGACCTTCCTCGGTTCGAATTCAAAGCCGAGAGAGTTAGCCGCAGGGTTTGGGGAGGTTGAGGGAATTGGGCACAGAATGGGGGCTGCAACCACCAACCTGTCTGTAGATATGTCAGGAACGTAGCCAAGGGCTGGTCAAGGGGATCGTGCCCTCTCCCTCCCCGTTCGTAGATGCGATGAGATTTATTATTCACACGCAGTGCGATCATGCGCTGTGGGATTGCGCAGATATTTGGTCCAAGTCCTATGAAGTTTGGCAAAATTTGGCATTTGCTCCTTCCCCGAGGACATCTTTGGCTACGTGCCTCAAGTGTACCCCTGTGGCATAGACGCCAGGCACTGGCACACCGCACAGCTAAGGCAACAAGATAAGACTGTGTGGTGAAGTGCGGCAGTGCATTGCGAAACGTGAGCTGGCACGGATATGCTGCATATCAGATCTGAATGCGTCGCGTAGCAACGGAGCTGGCACGTGTGCGAGCTTTGTGATATTAAGGTACCGATAAGGATGAGACAGCGGATGAGAAACCCATTTGTTGCCCTGTTTGGACACATTTGTGATGAAAAGAAAACATGATTTATGAAGTTCGAACGGCTTCAAAGGCGACCATGTTATGGCGCGGTGCTAAGTTCTCAGATTGGAACTGTCGGCAGCTTTTCTTCTCGTAAGTTGTTAAGTGCATTTGTGAGGACCATTATTCACATGAATAAGACGGTAGTAATAGTCTTATTCCTTGGAGAAAAACAGGAGAATGGTGATATAGATCCGTTGACATTTCGGCAACATGCGTTTATTTCAACGAACAGCGGAAGTGAAACGAATTCACTTCTGCTATTGGATAAAGGCATGTTGCCAAAATATCAATGGATTAAATCTTCGTTCTCCTGGTTTTTCTCTGAGAAATAAGGCCATTACAGTTGTCTTATCTATGTTTTCCTTTTTCGTTTCAGCGTCTTCATGTCGCACATGGCAACAAACATGATTTTAAGACACAAGCGGCATTGATTTCATGCAAAAAAACAACCTAACAGCAGGGGCAATGTAAACCCAGCAGGTGTGGCAATGATTGTGAGAAGAATGCAGCCGCCTCTTAACTCTGGAAAAATCGTACATGCCTTTCAGGTTGCACTCAAGGAGATGATATCTTTGACAAGCAAAGATATCGTTCCCCACACCCGTCAAAGGATCTGCGCTTCTTGCTTTATGCTGTTGTTTCTTTGTGTGGCTAAATTGAACCATTATTGTCTGGCTTACAACCATAAGAATGCGCAGAACAATATCCAAAAGCCTCATGGCAGCTCAAAACAGGACACACGCTTCACCTGTACGACTAGTGTGACACCTCAGCTAATGCACACCTCAGTGTAAGCAGTCCCCACTCAGTCTTCCGTAACTGGTTACAACCAGTTACAAACAGCCGCGGGGTAACGCAGGCGTGGATTAATGTGATGAACATCATAGATACAAGGCCCACCTGGCGTTTGTACGCACAGCAGAGCAAAAACCGTAGCCAACTGGTCACTCTTCTTCAAAGACCTGACCGAACAACGTCACGAGACTTCAAGTCCTGACCAGCGCATGTGGATGCGGACCTGGGGCTATCAGCTCAAGGACACTTTCACCCCGAGGCGAAACGCATGGTCACGTGCCACTCGGGACCAATCGGAGCCAGGTCACGTGACTGCGATGATCGGCGTGGCCGCGCGACCACCGGGGTTTGCAATCCCCGCGGCGCAATCGCCGAAGCAATCCAGACCTTATCGCGACCGCGAAGAGTTGAGAGACAGTGGACACGTCAGTCGATCATTAGAGAGGCCCTGCAGCCTTCGGACAGCCGTGTTGACCCCGGGGAGGATGTGGTGAAGGCCGTGATGTCGGAGTGATACTGAAGCGTTAGATGCAGCGGCTGTGTCGAGGTGGGAGGCATTGTGTGTTGGTTCTTAATAGGCGGAAAGCGGCACACGTGGCTCTTGGTAGTGCCAGGGTCACGGTAACTGGCCTGGCAAACTTATGGTGACCTTCTCAGCCGGGGGGTGGCGACTGTAAAAGCACTTAGAGGTGGCGGCTGTAAAAGACAATCGGCGTGAAAAGAGAAGTAGAATGGAGAGGTTGCCTGATTCTGTTCTCCACCCAACATCGCTGCACATGTCTTAGGTATTCAAAAATTGTTTTCAACACTATTAATTTAGGTACCTGTTTTTAGTTATTAGTTATCATTATTCAGTGAACATGTGAAGCATCATTCACAGCCATGAGCTGCGCTCAAGTCTTTGGCCAGCCCTTCCTTCAGTTTTGCAGGCCGCCTAACAATCTGTGATATCACGGCGGAGCTCATGGAAATCTTGTAAGCATGGGAAGGCAAACCTTCGGTGATTTCCCTCTCGTTCAGGCCCTTCTCAATGCAATTAGTGAAGCCTTTCTCCTACTCTTACATGTTCCATACTTGGGGCGTGACTACAATGCAGTTAAATTAAGCAACCATGGCCTAACATGCACTTGCTAACCATCATATCAACGGCGTTTTACCAAGGTCTCGTTCTTCGGATTTCTAATTCAATGGGCTTTCCCACGGCGTATTGCCTTGGAACGCTAGGTAATAAGCAGTGTTTGCTAGAATTTCCCACATAAAACGATGCGATAAATGCAAGCATGTCATCAGCAGGCTCTCATATATCTCTAGACTCTGGATGTGAATGCACCACCGGTTATGCCACTTGACTGGGTTACCGTTAAATGCTCGAGATATCACTTAGCGTCGTTGAATGATCTAAATGATTTAAGTAAAGTACTTTATATCGTTATACGCGGGACTGGCGGTCCCTACATGCAGGACTGGCGGTTCCTATGTGCAGTACTAGGAGACCCTAGGGCTGAAGGGCTGAAGGGACCCTAGGAAAGGGGAAGGGAGACCCTAGGGCTGAAGGGCTGAAGGGACCCTAGGAAAGGGGAAGGGAGACCCTAGGGCTGAAGGGTTGAAGGGACCCTAGGGCTGGGGACCTAGGAAAGGGGAAGGGAGACCCTAGGGCTGAAGGGCTGAAGGGACCCTAGGAAAGGGGAAGGGAGACCCTAGGGCTGAAGGCATCTGGATCGTTGAGACTGCACGAGCTAACATCGGGTCTTTGGTATGTCCTATACACCATGACCCCAAAACGGCTTTGGATCCCCGTCCCCACGTTCTGAGGGGACGGGAAACGAGAAGGACGTCCTCATGTCCTTTCCGTGATGAGATGACCGACGTGATGGGCGGTTATACATAATCAGATGCATGTATCAAAAGATAAAAGCTCAGCTATATACGCAAAGGTGCAAATCTTAGGACAAAACGGCACATGTTTGCCCCCAAGTAACCGGGTCGAAATCAATGAGAGCTTTGCAAACAAAACGATGTTGCAAAGCGTTCCTGCAATTTCTTTTGGCATGGGCAATGGAGCACGACTTTAATTTGCCGCAAGAAATCCCTTACATCTGACATTGTTGTCGTACTGCTGTGGGACACGCTTGCTGTGTTTTGAAGAGGACCACACATTGCTATAGTTTTGTAGAGTACAGCAGAGTACCTCACGACGAAGGCAACAAAGCAGGTCTGTCGGGAAGTTTCGACAACAGCAGATGAGTGTCATACACACAAGTGACAAAATCCATCGGCATAACCACTGGGATGCTGACGGAACATAGGTATAAGCACTGGGGTGCTGACGGGACATGGGTATGACCACTGGGTGCTGGTGAAATTCATGGGTATAACTACTGGGGTAGTGACGGGACATGGGTACGACAACTGGGAGCTGATGAAATCCGTGAGTGTAACCACTGGGGTAGTGACGGGACATGGATATGACCACTGGGTGCTGATGAAACCCATGGGTATGACCACTGGGGTAGTGACGGGACATGGGTATGACCACTGGGTGCTGATGAAATCCATGGGTATAACCGCTAGGGTAGTGACCGGACATGGGCATGACCACTGGGTGCTGATGAAATCCATGGGAATGACCACTGGGTGCCGACGGGGCGTGCCCTCTCCATTTGTCACAAAGTGTCATCTTGTCCTTCCCCAACGACTATGTCAAGAAATGGCACGATGCTCATGTTTTTCCTTCAAAGTCTCATTTTCGGGTCGGCCATTGCCCTCTAGGTTTCAATTTTTCCCCATCCAACCCAGATTTCTGCCTCTCCTCCATCTCAAAAACATGATATCGCCAAAGTGCGGTGACAAACTACACTCTCCAGACGTGTCTCTTTATCCGCCTTCAGCACGTGAGTACTCACTGTGAAGGGCGACGGGCTTTCGCAGAGCACGCGGAACTTGACGACCGACACGGGCTCACGGCGTTGAACCAATGACGTCAGAGGCTGAGCCACCACCACGCCACCGGTGTCGTTGGTGATCATGGCCGGTCGGAAAAACTCGGTGAAGTCTTCGTCCTGAGATTGTGAGCGTCAGTCAGCAGATGAAGTGTTCGTGTCAGCATTGATGAAAGATTAGAGGGCGCTGAACTGACATGAGTCACGGAGGAAATCACGGAACGCCAGTCAAGGGCTTAGCTGAATAGCTGAGACACTTAAAACAGAATGACAATGGTATTTGACAGCAGAACAGCGGTGTTCCAAGTAGAGCGGCATATAGTCTGTTCCGGCGCGGATTATTTGCGCCATCCTCTGGGAAGTCAGAGCCTTAAACTGCGTTTATATAGCATCGCAACTGCACGGTCACACACGAAAGTATATTAAAATCTTTTCACCGGACAGCTTTATTGCATGTGAGATATCAATTTAGCATGGCGCGTTAAGACGGCTTCTTCTGTCCCTTCCGAGGGGCTTATGCCATCACGGAAGATGAATGTGGCGTTGATTGCCTCATCGCGATGACAAAAAAACGTAACTCGACCCGAGTCGCCGCTTCGCCAAAAACGCAACGGGCGCGTTGCGACAGCCGACACTGGATGATGGGCGGAATGCGCGTGATGGTAGCGATCCGCAAAGCGGAGAGAGCGAGAATCGGGGTGCGAGGTGAAAAATGTGGACACAGTGCTATAGGCGGTACAGGATGAGCGCAATGACATGACAGAATGTATGCAAGGGAGAGAAGAAGCTAAAACAGGTAGAGAGAGATGTGTCGATTTGATACACACACACACACACACACACACACACACACACACACACACACACACACACACACACACACACACACACACACACACACACACACACACACACACACACACACACACACACACACCACACACACACACACACACACACACACACACACACACACACACACACACACACACACACACACACACACACACACACACACACACACACACACACACACACACACACACACACACACACACATATATATATATATATATATATATATATATATATATATATATATATATATATATATATACATGCATATCTATATTCTCTCTCTCTCTCTCTCTCTCTCTCTCTCTCTCTCTCTCTCTCTCTCTCTCTCTCTCTCTCTCTCTCTCTCTCTCTTTTCTCTTAAGCACATAAAACAACACATGATTAAACACACATGATTAAACCTCCCCATCCACTAGTCACGGAACACACCCATTTAACGAAGAGGCAGTCGCCTGGTGTTCGACTGCAAGCCCCGATCCCTCACCGTGCTCGGTTGCCAGCTCCGATCCCTCACCGTGCTCGGCTGCCAGCTCCGATCCCTCACCGTGCTCGGCCGCCAGCGCCGGTCCCTCACCGTGCCTGATTGTCAGCCCCGGTCCCTCACCTTGCTCGGATGCCAGCTCTGGTCCCTCACCGTGCTCAGCTGCCAGCCCCAGTCCCTCACCTTGGAGATGGGTCGCAGTGTCAGCCGGTCGGCTCCGTCCACCTCGAACACGAGCACGTGGGTTCCCGGCTCCAGACTCTCCGGCACTCGCTCGAACCGGGACGGCTCCCCCGGCGTCCCTAGGCGACAAGCTGAAGAGGGGGGGGGGGGGCGGGGGTGAGGTGCTGTTTCAGGGTTGTTAAGGGAGGTTCAGGGGGATGTTGCAGACGCTGGATGAGGTTCATCCTGTGTTAACGTGTCTGCGCAATGTGGCTGATGTTACAGCTTGTCCATCACGCACTCCGAGCTACTTCCGTGACCGCTTTTATGTGAGAGGTCTTAAACAGACAGGGGTTAAAGTGACATACATCTGTAATACTGATAGAGCTCCTAAGCTTTAGTTATTTGTGGGTAGTACTATTTATGTAAAGATTACGAACCAAAGGCACTATGGCTTTGTTCACACTTTGTTTTGCGGAAGTGCTCATGGTAGGTCATGGATTGAACGTGGTTGGGGCTTTTCATATCCTTGAACAGACTATTTCCCAACATTTCATGGCTCGAATGTGATCTTTTGGATGTTGTGTAGAAAGCATTTGCTTAAAATCTTTAAGTCCCCCTACTAAGACAACTCGTTTTTGATCAAGTTTCATCGTTCTATCTAACACAAGATACGATAAAATGTCGACAATAAGTAATTATTGCTAGCATGGAAATCTGCGGTTAGTTGAAAAGGCGCCTCACATAATACGCTAATGATGGTGTATGGTAAACGTAGTATATGAACACCTATATCTGGATTTCAGAACTTCAAGTGTTTCCTTTCATCACGCATGTCTTCCGGTAGTTTTGTTGTCAAATCAGAGGCATCGAACTTTCCAGTGGGTACAAAAAGCGTGGTAAGAACGATTGCTATACACTTACTCCACCCGATGTCAATCGCGAGAGCTACCGCGACACTCCTACATCCCAATACAATCCCCGCATCAATGCAGCGAAAACGAAAGTCCCTTCCACTTACCGTTCGCGCAGTCGAATCCCGCGACGAACAATACGATCCCCGCCGCCACGAATGCCATGATGCCGCCACGGAGTCCCATTCACAGGTCAGTTTCGGTCTGCGCGCTTCCCATTCACCGTCGTTTTCACCCACCACCGCCGCCGCCTCTGCACTGTCGGCATACACCGCCTCACTTCCCGCTCCGCTGTTCCTGTATGCGATCGCCACACGCCGTCGCCCGCGCGCCGTCCGCGGCGGTGCCTTCGCCACTACCGCACGTACGCTGCAGTCGCCGGTGCTAGCTTCCTGCCGACTGGCGGGCGTCGGAGTTGCCGGCGCAGTGCGCGCAGCGGACGGTGGCGGCCCTCTCACGCCGCTGCTCACGCCTCGTCTCACGCCTCACGCGTCACGCCCTGGGGAGGAGAACGCGTCTTATCGGCGTGGAGTCGCCACGAAAGGGATCGGTGGGTGTAAGGTGCGGGAAGGTGGAAGGGAGGAGGCGGGGCCGAAGGATTGATGGGCGACGTAGTGGTTACTTTGTCCACTAAATCGCTTCATAGGATTCGTATCAGAGAACGTTGAACGTGTCAGATGCGGTTATGTTGATGGAGTGTTTTCTGCGTTTCAATCCATTTATTTAGAGTAAAGCGAACGTGGCTATCAAGGCTCATTAAAACTTCACATTACTAACGCAAGATTTGTGTAAAAAATCAGGCGTGCAGGAAAACAACCCGATTGAAAACAGAATTACGTAAGCTGTTAAGTGCACTTGCAAGGAACATTATTCAGATAGATAAGACAACAGTAATAGCCTTATTCCTCTGAGAAAACCCGGAGAGTGTTGTCAAAACATCGACGCATTTCCATCTCCATTCACCTGGTTTTTCTCCGAGGACTAAGGCTATTACCACTGTCTTATCGATTGGAAACAAACCGTACTTCGCTATAGGCTGGATATAGATACTCCGCGATATTCCGACACTTGCTTCGTGCCGCCACCGGTGAACAAATGACAGGGATTCGACGTCTGGTTAGTTTGGCAGGCGTGAAAACCTCATGCTGCCAAGTTGAGGTGGTTCGATGTTTGTCATGTTTGTCATGGATGTTTGTCAGCGAATGGTAAGTACACCCGTTAAATCATGGGCTCTATCCATAGTACGGGCAGACAATGCATGGATTGCCTGCATCGCATCGCCAGGTGTGCCCAAGATGCATTAAAAGGAAAGAATACTCGATGCTACGTCAGAGATGTGTCCACCGAAAAAATGACCCCATTGCTCAGGAAGACATTTATGAACACCTCGTTCCTAATGCAACATAACCTTCCGGTGGACTTAATAGTTTTGCAAATATGAGTCGGAGACAGAATATAATCAGCATGACATGCTTTCTTTAACAAACAGACTTCATGCTCATGGTTCACAGGGATTGACAAACGATACACAAATATGGTTGGCTACTAGCCCTAATCTGTGGACAGCATCGACATCATCATCATCATGGTCATCATGTTGATCGACTGGAGGAGGCAGAAAGTGTTGGACTCGGGACAATGAGTGATTTATAATAGCTTGGGCGACAAACAGGCGTACTTTAGCACGCTTTTTCGGCATCATAACGGCCATAGCGGAGAATATTTTCTTTTCTTTTGTGTCTTGCTGTGCATCCTGAGCTTGAGTTCTTTTTTAACAGCTTGCACAATAATCACCGAAGACTGATCGGATCGGCTGCCAAAATATGTCCCAGTGTTGCAGCGGAAGAATGGCTTACCATAGTCCCGTATCCATGACAGCCACGTTAGCGACAGCGCACTGCACACCTTGCCTGTTACAAATATATATTTTAAAAAAGATAAATGATTCCGAATGATTTGCACGCGTGGCTCTGGGTTCAAAACACCTGCTAAGCATAGCTTATTGCGTGTACACTTAACCCACCAACCAAGTCGAGCCGTCCAGTTCAACGTATAATAATTTTACCTCCGCTCTTTCGCCAGACAAGACCGCGGGGGTTTCACGTGCCGCACAATGCTGCGGCACGCCCGCCCCGGGCCTCGCTTGACCCTCGTTGGCCATTTGCCAGCTGCCATTCCCATTTCAGTCGGGTCAAATAATACACCCGCTGAAGGACTCGTAGGCAGTGCCGCTGGATTGTGGGCTCAGCATCTCTCTCCCCTAGACCACGGGGAAGACTTAAATAAGCTAAAGGAAACGCCAACAATTTTGCTGCATGCATTTTATACGAATGTAGCTCACTGGATATCGCTAACATGGCTGAAAGCATCCTTCCGGGAAAAGTTCTAAGACATTTTGTTCAGCGTAAATTTCGAGAGAAGAGCATACCGATGTGAACCTTACTTTTGACTTACATATCTCGTACTCCTACTTTTACGTACATTCCGATCTCGAATCTCTCGTGAGTTTGTTCTTCATGGTGACGTTGGTGTTCTGGATCTCACACGGTTGTCACCAGAAGGTTTCGATGGCTGTCATGCCTCGAATTCGCCCACCCAGCAGCATGGAGTCACGCTCCATCGCCAATCTCAATACGCTTCTAGGTCTTTAGATTAATTGTTATTAAATGCAATAACAACTTAAGCACGGAATCCGGTCCTTCCGAATCGAGATGACATAATTCCGCTATTTTTAGTGCGAAATGTATTAGATTGCAAAAAAAAACATCTGGAAATGCGTTCCATGTGTGTACTACTTTAAATGCATCGGCATGGCCACTGCGCTGGAATGTATATGAATGTTTCGGGTGAGAGGTCCAACCATTTGGCTTTCATTTCCTTGAGCTTACACATGGTCCTGTCCATTCGAAAAGTGCTCGTCAGAGCTTTCCAGCATTGACGGAACGACAGGGCAAAAATCGCGATAAGGACCGCCTGGAAGTCGTTCAAAATTAAATGTCCGGTTCGTTAATGTTCCAGTCATGCCGTCAGGTCGGTCTACTAAGTCCAGGATCCACTCCGTTTGCAATTGGCCTTTTGAAGCATTTCTGAATATACCCCGGTTGTATTCTTTACACTATGTAGTTTTATGAATAATTTCCTTGCTGTTCTGCTTTTGCATTGCCGCTTACATCAAGTATGATCAGGATATTTCACCTTTTCATACGTTTATTATGACAAATATTGTTCACTGGTAGCTTAACTCCCAACCGTGTGCACATTTCACAACCGTACCTATCAATGATAAAGAAAACTACCATAACAATGTTAAATGTTTTGAGTGCGACACGTGCCTCGCTGTACCGTGCAGGCAAATACTTCCTTTGCTGTTACAATTTCTGTTCATGAAATATTGCACTTGCAGCTTCGTCAGCCCCACACGTGGTGTAGCACGTGCTCTTCATTCAATTCGTTTGAATTCCTAGGGTTCATGAATTCCCAGATCCGGTCAGGGCATGACAGACGCCGCGCCCCACGGACCCCAGCCAGCCCCAGTATCGCTGTGCGCATAAGTTCTCTCCACTAAGCTTTGTTTTTGAGAGTTTTCTGAGCAGGCCTAATCGAACCCGTGGATTGCCCGGCCACCTACGGATTCTTCCGATCTGTGAAGAACTCCAGACCTTCCGCGCCTACGAGCTTGCATGGTAGGTGGCGTAACTTCCATTGCCGATTTCATGCATGCATGCAAAGGGCAATGCCCAGATTAAAAATCCAGCACCCAATTGAACCTCCCGACATTCAAACCCAAATTGCCAATCCCTCCCATTTTTTAGAGTCACGCAGTGGAGAAAGTTCCCATCACTGTCTGGCGCCTGAAAAGCGAGGCACTCGCCTAAGACGGGCGCATGTAACGAACTAATTACAGCCGTCACACCGCCATGGACTTCCGCTGTGACGTCACGCATCCGGCGGCGGCGGCTGTGACGTCACTCGAGCCGACGCGCCGACGGCGGGCGGGGTGTTGACGGTCTGGAGTCCGTCGACATCTCGGCTCGCGAGGCCCGTGGTAGGGGGAAGGGGGAGTTTTTCGCCGGTAGGGGAGATGCGCTCCGCTGGCAGCGACGCTGCGGTCAGCTGGCGGCCAAGTGGGGGGGGGGGGGGGGGGGGGGGAATCAGGCCTGCGGGAGCCACCGAGGCATGTGTAGAGCGATGGGTGGCCTTGAATCTCAGGACACCTGCATTGTTTGAAGTTCTCGAAGATTTTCCAAATTGAGATTTGTACAAACCGGAGGAAAATGTTCGAGCCGCTAGAGGAAACTATAACGACAGTGCAGGTCCTAGAAGAGACACGTCACAACATATAAAAGACGGCAGGCCATGTTAAGCTTGCCTTCCGATGCGTGCCACTGCGATTGTCGAGGTTGGAGCTCTCCATCGCCTGGAGAGGCGCTTACCTATGGGTCAAGTCCTCCTCGCATAATAACTGCAAACAACGATTGTCTCTATCCATCAATGCCTTATCAAAATCACCAAAAATATATGAAATTGCTAGAGACATAAAGTACTATAGAAGAAGAGCATGTGATTTGTATTCAGCAACAAGTCATCGAACCCAGCTCCTCCATGCACGTCTTGGAGCTTTGCGCATGTCGTTGTCATAAAAGCGGTATCGTTCACGTTGATTGTGGAGGGAAATCCAAATAAACTGGTAGCATTTTGTGAGATACAAGAGCCACAGAAAAAGGAAAGGATTACACTGTGATGACTAAGACTTTACCATGAATGGTTCGTCACGGTGCTGATAGGCTGCGCTGGCATTTGTACCAGAGTTATGTAGTGTCCATGTTATGGTTACAACCTAATATAGATACTGTGGTGTAAAGGGGAGACAGCTGTCAAAAAAAAAACAGAGATGCAGCATAAAGACAACTCTACTTTCAGTGCATGTGTGTACCTGCCAATTTTATATGTTTGTGAGTGACCGTGTACCCTTTAAGGTATTTCATGTATCTAAAAACCAGACTATGTTGAAAAAACTGTGAGGATGCTTTCCATTTCATCGTGCATGATTGCGCTTCTTTTTGAATAATTTCGTTTATTGTATTTGATCGGCTTGGAACACGGCAACAGACACAACCACGTTGCTCATTATAGTTCCAGGTGGACAAAAACACAGCTTGATACCATGCAAGATAATGTTAGATGTCAGCGTGTAATTCGTATAACGTAACGCCACGGCTGCTACAACGCCAAGACGGCCAATTGGTGCCCCTCAAGCCACATACAAAGAGCATGCAGACCTCTATGACTCATCAAAGCTTCGGTAGGTTTGTATCGTCTCCACGGTCGGCAAAAGTCTTTCACTTCAGAATATTCCAGGACTTGGCAATTCTTGGGTTTCGATGTTGTTCACGCGAGTCCCGCGGTTTTTGGTCGGGCTCCAGCCGCCGAGGATTTCGTGCGTGTTTTTGCGCAGATGGCGCCACTGGGCTGCAGCTGGAGGTGCCCCCGCCAGTGGCG